GAAGTTAAGATTAGTTTTAAAGAGGGCATTGGACTACAACGTCAAATTTAATCAATCAGAAATTCAATTTAAACAAAAATCAGTTAAATTTTTGGGACAGATTTTTTCGGAAAAAGGCAATAGTGTGAATCAAAACTACATAAAAGCTATTCTTAACATGGAAGAGGTTAGGAATAAACAAGAGTTGTTAAAATTTTTGGGTTTGACTAAATTTTTTAAATTTGTGGGGAAGTTTATACCAAATTTATCTAAAACTAAGAAATCTGAAAAGAAATAATGTTCATTGGCATTGGAATGAAAATCACAAATCTGCAGTAACAGTTAAAATTCTCACTTGCTAATTCTCCTGTTCTCATTTTTTTCAACCCAGAAAAAGTGTATGTATGATGCCTTCTCTAACTGGTAAGAATTGCTCCCTATTAAATACAAAAGTGCTGATTACTTGATATACAGGGTGTTAATAAATAGTGGGATCAAACTTCTAGGATAAATAGTACTCATTAGAAACATGGGTCCGCGAATGGTTAGTTTTCAAGATGGGTGTCAAAGTTTGAACGTTTTTTAGCTCAAAAATCCCTTTCCTAATTTTTTTTTTCAAATTTGACAGGTTTGTTTCTGACAACAAAGGGTATCTTTTGAGTTTTGACCTTTTGACTGTGATATGACTTAATCTGCAAAAATATCAAAGTTATAAAAAAATTGTGACATGAGTTACAAATCAGTACGCGATGTACGATTTTTTAAAAACAAATTTATTTCACTTAAAACTATTACAATATTTTTACGTTTAAAATTTATTAAAATTCGAAGCGTCGAAAGTGAATGCAAAGCTCTGACTGAGGACGCTCGGCAAGTAGAAGCTACAAAAAGAGAATACAGAATGCAAGCTAATGAAAAATAATATGCTGATTAAATAAAATATACAATGTAGAGCCGTATGTAACTCATGCCATTTTTTTCTACTTTTACCAACGAGTTATCCTTTGGAGCGCCACTGGAATAATTACGGTAAATCTAATTGAATCAAAAAATACCTTTTGTTATTATTACAAACAAATCTGCCAAGTTTAAAAAAATTCGGGAAACAGATTTTGAAAAACCGATTTTTTCAAACTTTGACTCCCTGTATCTCGAAAACTAAGCATTTGCGGACCTATGTTTCTATCAACTTTTTTCTTATTTTAATGAGTACTATTTATCCTAGAAGTTTGATCCCACTATTTATTAACACCCTGTATATATATATAATTATCGGTTTATAACGTTCTACGTCTTCCGATTCCCGATCTCCAACCATCTCTGTCAATCCAGGCATCCTCTTCCAAGCCTCTGTCTTTCATTTCCTCGTCTACTCCATTTCTCCAGCTTCTTCTTGGTCTGCCGCGTCTTCTTCTTCCCCCTGGCTTCACTCAATTATTTGCTTGGGTATTCTTGTATCTGCCATTCTTATTTGTACGTGTCCGACTCAAATCAGCTGTTTGTCTTTTATATCATCTATTATTGTGTGTTTTACGTCCATAATCTCCCTAATTCTCAGATTTGTTATCCTTTCCATTTTTGACCTGCCTGCCGATCTCCTCCAAAAGTCCATTTCAGTTGCTTCCAGCATTTTTGCGATTCTGATCTTTAGTGGCCAGACTTCTGAACTATACGTGAATATGCTTTTGACTATGGTGTTGTATATTCTCGTTTTGTTAGTTTTGTTGATATATTGATCCCACAGTACACCATTTAGTAGGGATATTGCCTTGCGTCCTTGTATATTCCGATCTTTAATTGCTTCGTGTAGGGTTCCCTCATGTGAGATTTTCATGCCCAAATATTTGTATTCAGTACATTGTTTTATTTCTTGTCCGTTATTCATTTTCAGAGTTCGTTGTTCACCTCCTATAGTCATGTATTCAGTTTTCGTTAGATTTACTTCCAAACCCCATTCCGTGATATCTCATATGAAAAGTGTGCTCGATTTGGTTTACCATATATTCTTATAGCTGATAATATTTCGTTTAATAGTCAAAAAGTTATAGAATTTTCAAGAGAATGGAACTTCAATCTTGCATATCGGAGTCCTAATCACTCCAAATCAAATGGGTTAGCGGAAAAATCTGTTGGTATTGGGAAAAAATATAATAAAAAAATCCTTGGAGGAAAGAAAGGATATAATATTCAGCTTTGCTTAATTATAGAAACAGTCCAATGAAGCCTATGGATTTTACACCATCTCAAATGCTGAATAGTAAAAAATGCAAGTTGAAAGTTCCAGTAGAAAGAAGTTTATATAGAGCCGCAGTTGTATCAAGGCGCTGTTGAGAAATTAATATTATGTAAACGTGATAAAGCTAAATGTTATTATGACAAAAACTCAAATGATTTGTCAACTTTACTAACCAATCAAAATGTGAACATGTATAATCATATGAATAAAACATGGAGCTCTGGAAAATTCCTTAATAATTATGATGCGCTTAGATCATATAATGTGCCAGATGAAAGTGGCAATGTTGTTAGAAGAAACCAGAATTGATTTTAAACCTTCCAATAATTAGTATGTTAGAAAGTTAAGCTTAACACATGATGTTGACAGACTGAATAATGGAAATGTTTCTTCTGGAAATCAATCATCAGATGTGGGAGATTTTCTGTTCTGTGTCTGTTACTAGAGCGGGCAGGCATATCAAGAAACCAGATGAGTTAGATCTTTGAGGGGAAAGATGATTAATATATTGTAGTTGGCTTTAGTTATAGAGAGAGTTCTGACTACACATAGAATGATAGACAAAAACAAGTGTCTAAATTTTAAGTAGTTATAGAAACTAGAATAAACATTGTCAAATGTGCTTGTGCAGTTTCATGCAGTAGGTAATTTGAATATTGTTATTAAAAAGTACACTTTAAATACTTTGGGCATTATTCAAAGGCAGAATGAAACAATGTGGATACTGGTGTAGTTGGAAATTGGAATAGTTTTTTTAATTTGAAAAAACATTATTTGCCTTTTGAGATGCCTAGGTATACTTCCACTTTGAATGATATTTTATATTTATTAATACTTGGGCCCTTATTCTCAATAACATCATAATTAAATTGTTGCATGGAATCAGGTTCACTACATTAGTCGTTGTTTTGATTCACTTCCATTTGTTCTGCATTCTACATTCATATCTTCATTGAACGTTTTTTGATGCAGACCAGGATCACCTTTTGGCGCAAGGTGACGTGACGTGTGGACACAATTGTTTCTTCAGGTACCTGATAATATTATGATCAGAATTAACTTCTAGTAGTTGCACTTTTTCCACCATCGGTTCATACTTGCTTTGTCTTACACACTTTTCTGGGAAAACTGGACCAGGAGCACTCAGTCAGGTTGGAATTGAAGGACCATTTGTAGATCTTCGAGGATGACATAACATTCCTTCATGCGGTGAACATCAGTTTGTTGCTGTACCATAACAAAGACCTTATTGAATATAAAGAGTCGACCAGTACCTGCTGCCAATGTCTTATATCCACATGTTTCTTAATTCTAGAGATAACTGAATAGTTTTCCATATAATACCGTTTACACTGACCGTTTATTCCTTGCGGGTTATATGGAGTAGTGCGAGTAGTTGCAATCCCATGTCGTGTTAAGACTGTTTGCAGTTTTTCAGACATAATTAAATGATGTCCCTCTATCATTATACTGATATGATGGTGTCTCAAAAACAGAGAAAAGTTGAGTAAAGCAATTTATAATGGTTGATGAGGTCATGTCAAGACAAGCAAAGGCAAATAGGAATCTAGAAAATTCATCCAGAATAGTCAAAATATAGCAATTTTGGCTCTCAGATGGCAATAGACCTTTGAAATCTACATTTATTCTTCCGAAAGGCGGTAGTAGCTTTTATGATGGTCCCTTGATTTCTATGGAACCTTGGTTTGATCTCAGTACAAACGCGACAGGTGGTTGAAATTTTCTTGAGATATTCTAGTGAGAGAGGTAGATTCTTATACCGGACCCAGTGATACAGTCTTGTTATACCAGGATGACAGATAGAATTATGTAGATTACACAATGTTCTGTCACTGGAAAAAGATGAAATCGCAGAAGGTATATTTGAAAATGTATCTGCGACGATGTTTTGATTTCCAGATCTGTCATATTTATTCCAGAGGCCACCGCATTTTTGATTTTAGAATTACTTAGTGAATTACACATAAAAGCGACCGATTTCCAGTCAGTTACAATCTTAAAGTAACGGCCAATCAAAAAAAAAAATCTCCATTTACGTAGTATTTCACAGAAGAATGTCGCTGTTCCGATTTCATCAAGGTTCTAGAGAAAAACGCTAGAGGTTTTCCAGATTGTGTAGGTTGAGCAGCAATAGCATATTCCGATTGTTTTATCGTCAATGAAAATAACAACAGCGTTTTGTATAGGTATCAGTATTCAACTATTAAAAAGTAACAGCTTCACAAGCAGACGATGGAAACTTTTGAGCTTGAATCAGTGGATGTATTTTTGTTATTGATTTTTCCAGAAAACTTATGAATGAAATTGGAATATTGAGCAACCATTAGAGTATCTGCAGGTAGAGGCAACTGAATCAGTGGTTTTACTCTGTCTATATATCCATGGTTTGATTGATTTTTGTTCTATTGTATGCCTTAGTATTTTTTTTAGTTATACCAAAGTTGCATTTCTCTTTGCTAAGCGTCATGCTATATTTCTTAACAATCTCCAAAAATTGTTTAAGATTTTTATCATGGTATTCTTTATTTCTACCACAGATGGTGACGTCATCAACAAACGCATATGTGTCTTCTAAATTAGACTCCAAAAGAACTAAGGAAGTGAGAATGCGTAATAAAACAATTTAAAAAGAAATACGAAGAGATATGAAGTATAATACAAAGATACAATGTACTAATAAAGAAATAAAAACACGATAAAGCTTCTAGAAGGAACTATTAAGCAATTGACACAGAAACATTTGCAATCTTAAAGCTGACAAAGGATAAGGGAATGAAGCTACTATTAGAAATAACGGTAGGTAACATCGTTGATTGATTGGTCAGATAGAAAGACAACTTGAAATTAAATATTTATTCAATGAAAATGCAGCAAATAGTTAATGGTAGGTACTAAAATAAGATCTGTATAATATTATTATTATTATTATTATAAATAAAACACTTAGGTACATAATAATAAATTACACACTATTAAAAATTGGTTTATTATATTAATATTATTCTACTAAATAATAGATTATTATTATTATTAATACACAGTGGAACATTTCTTTAAATCTTGGATAAAGACAATTTAACATTGTATAACTAGAGTTATTTTTATTTTTCATTTTATAAATATAGGTAAACAAATTGCTTTGCTTTATGCAAAAACGCTAACATTGATCAGTCAAATATTAGAAAAATTATTATTTTTTTGCTACATCAAAATCAATAAAAAGGGATCTTGATATCCCAAAAAACTGTACAAAACTTTCACGCATGTTTTAGCCTTTTGTTAATAATCTATACACATTGTTGTAGCATGATATGATATTTATTTAACAAATAATTTCTTTACAAAGCTATTATTTTTTTCTGTTATGTTGGAAATAATTACGTATTATATATACAATAGGTATACTCTAATTAATCTATTTTGGCGACGAAATGTTTTGAGAAGGCCCCAAAGTCGTATATTCACTTTTATCGTCAGTTTCTTGGGTACCGTCTCCAAAAAGTACTTCTGGTTCGTGTTCTTCTACCAACTCTCCTGTTACAGAGTCGATATCTTCAACAGTAGAATATTCAATTTCGCTTGGTGTTGTTGAAGTTGAAGGAGCTTTAGTACTTGTTTGAATATCGCCTCCAAGAGGTTTGATTGGTACCACTTTCAAAGTATTGTAGAGGACTTTGTCTATGTAGAACATCGTGCCTAAATTGTAGACGAAGACTTCACTTTCAACTATCAAGGCTTCATTGATATGAACTTTGTTAGCTAAAATAAATTGTTGTTAATGTATTATTATTTCTTGGTTTGATATTTTGTTACCTGTTCTGTTGACATTCAAAGTCTGATTGCCCAAAGTCACCAATGCAGTTCCACTTTTCAAGTCCTTGTCGTACAATCGGCCTTTGACGAAATGGTTGAGTAAAATTTGTAAGCCTTCTCCGTTTGACAGATAGTTGTCGGGCATTTTGTCCAGGCCCAATTCTTCAAAAGCCGTGTCGGTTGGAACGAAAAACGTGTAGCCGGCGCCTGAAACGTGCGGTGCTAAATCTGCTAAGTTCAGGAATCTTGTTATGTGGGTAAACCTGGAATAAATCAAAATTTCAGACAAACCCATTAATTAAACCAACAATATAGATTTCTGCTCTTAATAGCAATTGGAAGTGTACTTACCGTTTATCCCTTTCGAGGGCTAAAAAGGCGTGCGATAAAAATTGGGCGCCGAACCACGGGAATGCTAATAAAGGCGGCGTTTCTTTGTCCCGATGCTGTTGGTGTAATTTCGAAACGACAGATTCGCTGACAAACAATACTTCGCCGATGAACATGATATTGCCCTTTTCCACTGGCGTGTCGCCTTTCACTATCGTTGCTCCGTTCACTGTTAAATTAGCTGGAAAAAAAAAGAAAAAGATTGACAAAAGTTTAGTGGAATTTTGCCTATCTGTATCTAGGATAGGGGGTATTGTATGTCAACCCTTATGAAGTTTTTTACTCATTTATCAATGGTAAGTTTGTTTTGTATTATTCTTTTTTTTTATTTATTTACTTTCTGCCAATGATTTTAATTTTAAGCTTTATCCTATTTCTAAGTTTCTTAGTAGGACCCTCAGAGGTAAGACCCCTTTGTTATCACTCAAGTAGGTATCATGCTCAAACTCAAGATTTGGATTTATGTTTTTCTCGCTCATCATTAACGTTTTCTCTTTGTTTAATTCATAATATCAGTCCATACATTTTCCAACTACTTATTATTTGTTTTCTTATTTCTTACTGTAATAATTATTAGGTACTTCTTCTTCAGCTATAATCACTATTACTTTTTTTTTATGTTGTTCTGTTTTCTATTTGGTGTCTTCGTTTCAATTTTTGTATTTGTGTATGTCATTATTTTTCTTGGAACGTTTTCATCTTCCCTCTTTGCGATATTTGAGTTTTTATATTATTATACGCAGTGGCGGCGATATGCATAAACGGAATAAGCGATGCTCAAGGGCCCAGGCACGAAGGAAGCCAGAAGTACAATTTTTTTTTTTTAAATAAAAATTCTTTAGAATAAAATTGAGAAATATAATCAGGTCACTCGAGATTCTACACACAACCATCCTCCTACCGCACCCTGTATCCCCCTATTGCGCCCTCTATCCTTCTACCTCTCAAGATACTACGCAACTACACAACCATCCCCCTATATTTTATGCTGAACTTAGCTAGTTTTGTGTGCTCAATTTTGGTGGTTTTGTTCTGGATTTTGCTGGTTTAAATCTGGATTTTGTGCTGGTTTTCACTGCTTTCGTGCTGGTTTTACTGGTTTTGTGCTGGTTTCGTGTTAGTTTTTACTGGCTGATTTTCACTGGTTTCGTGCTGGTTTTGTGCTGGTTTTCACTAGCTGGTTTTCGCTTGTTTTGTTCTGGATTTTCCTGGTTTGGCTGGTTTTCACCTAGCTTGGAAGGGGGATTGCTCGAAATCGAAACTAGGAGGGTAATTACAGGAAAATTGCGGTGGAGGGATGTTTGATGTATTTTTTTGAGAGCGCGATAGGGAAATACTGGGCTGGGGTAGATCGTTGTATGTAGAATCTCTAGTAACCCGGTAAGGGGATGCAGATCGTATAATAAGGAGAATACAGGGTGCGGTAGGGAAATTGTTGTATCTTTAGTGGTAGAGAGATACAGGGCGCGGTTAGGGTAGCTGTACGTGTCTCTTTCGACCGTAGCTGGAATGGGGATCCACAGAGGCTGCGGTAGGGGGATGGTTGTATCTTGAGTGGTAGGGGGAGTGTCTCTTTGTCTCGTCTCTGTTTTGATCTAGAACGCCTATATACTACCTACTTACTGGCTTTTGATTTTTTTGGGAAACCTTCCTAGAGCCAATCAAGAGCCGGTAATAGTCAAAATTTGAAATTTTATGAACTCTGGATTGCCTAGAGAATTCTTCTAAGGGCAGTCAAGACTCAGGAGCCAATAATAATCAAAATTTCGAAAATGGTATCTCTGCTCTTCGAATTCTTCAAAACCTTCAACTTTAACAATTAAATCAGTACATCAGTCTCTATTGTCTTTAGTGATGTGTCAACTTTCAAGATCTTTAGAGTCTTAGCTCAAGAGCTTGAGATTCTTCTTGAAATCTTTAACACCTTAAGAGTTCATAGTCCTAAATTCATATAAGCATTAAGAGTTTGCAATTTTCTGTAAATGACAAATAGAAAAGAATACCTAAAGAAATAAGAGCAGCAGCGTTTAAGGTCTTCAATCTTTGGTTTTGTGTTTGTAGAGTCTTAAGTTTTGATTCATGAGCTTTGAGACACTTCAAGGTACCTATTTATTAACTTTTGTAGGACATAAACGTTTTAACAACGTCAGTAAAAACAACCGAGAACGTCCGATGGACCTTTTCTTTAGTACAAATATCACAACTTTAAACGTCATATAGACGTTTTAAGCGGACATATGAAAGGTTTCGAGAACGTCTTTTAGAATCTGAACTCCAAATAGAATTTTTTTTATAGTGCCAATGTGACAGTTTATAAACTACCTTGCAAACAACATGAAGACGTCGAAACTGGATGTTTCAAAAACGTCTTAAAGTAGAACTAATTTCCATTTTATCTAAAATATAAGGTTTTCAATGGTGTTATTGAAAACGACCTTCGAAGGGTTAATTGCAAGGGAAGTATGGTGTACAAATTAGGGTAATCAAGAGAAAATCCGAAGAAATATAAGGCAATCAGAGAAGAAATTATAAGAAAATCATGAAAAAAACAAGTGAAATCTTAAGGAAATCGTGGGAAATTTTGAGGAAATCATTCAATTTCTAGATCTAACGCATGCGCAGTTTCCAAAAATCTCTATAGTTTGAATTTTTTTTTTTCCAGGAGAACTCTTGGGCAATCTTACTGGTATTAGTGGTAATCAGAGAAAATCAGATCCAGATCTAACGCATGCGCAGTTTTCAAAAATCTCTAAAGATTGAAATTATGAAATTTTGTTTCCAGGAAAACTCTTGGGCAATCTCACTAGTAATGGTGGTAATCAGAAGAAATCGGAGAAAATCATAGGAAATCATCCATGATTTCCCATAAAACCGCAATCTGGTGTACAAAATTTTACCTGCGGTTTACCCGGAGCCCGGAGTTGTAAACCGCAACGGAAATCTAGTGCTGGTGTACAAATTAACAGGAAATCTTAGGCAATCAGGGTTTGGACTGTGACAGACGAATGGATATATTTTCTCTATATCTATTAATATCCCCTCTCTATTAATTTCTAAAAGAAAGAAGAAGAGAGCAAGTTCCATAGCGATGGGAATAACGATCTCTCTCTTTTACAAAGTCCCTGCCCAGTGGTAATCACAAGGAGCTTGGAGGAAATAATGAAAAAATCGAATGAAACTCAGGAGAAATCTCAAGGAAATCATGGGAAATCTTGAGGAAATTATCGAATCTCTAGATCTAAACAAGCGCAATTTTCAAAAATCTTAGAACTTTAAGTTATATTATCAGAGGTACTCTTGAGTAATGTAACTGGTAATTAGAAGAAATCAGGAGAAATTATGGAAAATCAACCATGATTTCCCCTAAAACCGCACTTATCTGCGGTTTACCCATCTGTAACGAATAGCGATCGATATCAGCTCTATCTCTATTCGCATCACCTCTCTATTGATTCTGATAAGAGAGACGAAAAAAGCAATAGTGCGCTAGCGAAAGGAATACCGATCCCTATCTGTTACAGAGTACCAGCCCTCTGATATACATATTAAGGAAAATCAAGGAAATTCGAGGAAATCTATTGCGATCGAGGGAAATCATAGGAAAATTTTGAGGAAATCATTCAATCTCTAGATCTAACGAATGCGGAGTTTTCAAAAATCTTTATACAATTTGAACTTTGAAGTTATGATGTTTTCAGGGTAACTCTTGAGCAATGTTACTGGTAATCAGAAGAAATCAGGTAACATCATAGGGAATCATCCATAATTTCCCCTAAAACCGCAATCTGGTGTACAGAAACTGACCGATTTACCCGGAGGAGTAAATCGCAAGAGAATTCTGGTTTACAAATTAGAACAAATCCGAGGAAATCCAAGGCAAGCAGAAAAAATCATAAGGAAATCAGAGGAAATCATGGGAAAATTAAGAGAAATCTTAAGGAACTCAGGAAAAATCTTACGGAAATCTTGAGGAAATCAGTCAATCTCTAGATCTAACGCATGCACAGTTTTCAATAATCTTTATAATTTAAGGTTATGTTAGCAGGGGAACTCTTGGGTAATGTTACTAGTAATCAGAAGAAATCAGGGGAAATCATGGGAAATCAGCCATGATTTTTCCTAAAACCGCAATCTTGGAATTATGTAACGGATAGAGATCGTTATCCCTATTGCTATGGCACTTGCTGTCTTCTTTTCTCTTGTTGAAATCAATAGAGAGGAGACGTCAATAGAGAGTAGGACGTGAATAGAGATAGAGAAAATATCTCTATTCGTTACAGAGTCCCAGCCTGGTGTACAAAAACTGACCTGCGGTTTACCCATGGGCTGGCTGGAACTCTGTAACGAATAGTGATCGATATATCTATTCCTATACCCGTCACTGCTTCCGATAAGAGAGACGAAGACAGCAAGTGCGATAGCGAAAAAAATAACGATCCCTATTATTACAGAGTGCTAGCCCTCTGGTGTACCTACATATAAGGGGAAATCAAAAGGAAATCCAAGGCAATCAGGGCTGGGACTCTAACGAATAGAGATACCTTCTCTACCTATATTGACGTCCCCTCTCTATTAATTTCGAGAAGAGAGAAGAAGAGAGCAAGTGCAAGAAAGTTCTCTATCCGTTACAGAGTTCCAACCCAGGAGAAATCATAAGGATGTCTTGAGGAAATCATGTACAAAAACTGACATGCGGCTTACTTTTCCGGTACATATTACAGAAAATCAAGAGAAAATTCGAGGCAACCAGGGAATCTTGGGAAATCTTGAGAAAATCAGTAAATCTCTAGATCTAACGCATACGCAGTTTTCAAATATCTTTATATGAAAAGTTTGAACTTTGAAGTTATGTTTTCAGGGAAAACTCTTGGGTAATTTTACTGGTAATCAGAAGAAATCAGGCAAAATCAGGAAAAATCATGGGAAACCATCCATGATTTCCCCTGAAGCTGCAATCTGATGTACAAAATCCGCAAGGGAAATCTGATGTACAGGGTCTCCAAGATTCGACGGTTTTAGCGGGTTTCGGGTACCACTTGCGAGCTTCGATTTTCAAGAGAAGTTGACCGGTGAAATCCGCACTTCAATATTTCGATTCGCTTTTAAGCTACAAGGGGAAAGTTGACCAAATTTTCATAATTAAAAAAGTTATAGCCCCCCTGCCAAACTTCAAACTTTTCAAAAACCCGTCGTAGCATAAAAAAGACTCGACATATCGAAATGCGGTTTTCACCAGTCAATTTCTCTTGAAAATCGAGCCTCGCAAGTGGGTGTCAGATTTTTTCCAACTCCTTCAGAAATACCCGGAACCCCTCAAAACCATCAAATCTTGGACACCCTGTACAAATTGGGGAAATCAGGAAGAAATCCGAGGGAACCTAAGGCAATCAGGAGAAATTATAAGGAAGGTAGACGAAATCATGAGAAAATCAAGTGAAATCTTGAGAAACCCAGGAGAAATCTTAAGAAAATCATGGGAAATCTTGAGGAAGTTATTCATTCTCTAGATCTAAGGATGCGCAGTTTTCAAAAATCTTTATAATTTGAGATTAGTTTATCAGAGGTACTCTTGGTAATGTTACTGGTAATCAGAAGAAATCAGGGGAAATCATGGTAAAACCGCAATGTGGTATAAAAAACTTTTCTGCGGTTTACTTATTAGTGTACCTATTAGGGGAAACCGAGAGGAAAACCGGGAAAATCTAAGGCAATCGCCAATCGGGGGAAATCATAAAAAAATCAGTCAACCTCTAGATCTAACGCATGCGCAGTTTTCAAAAATCTTTATATACCCAGTGGTAATCAGAAGCAAAGTTAGGGAAAATCATGAGAAATCATCCATGAATCCGCAATCTAGAGTACAAAAACTGACCTGCGATTTACACGGAGGAATAAACCGCAAGGGAAATCTGGGCTGGTACCTACCCTGTAACGCATAGACATCGTTATCTCTATCCTATCGTTATGTCTAAGGCAAGGGACTCTAACGAATAAAGATATGTTCTCTATCTGATTGATGTCCCTTCTCGGCCCTCTCCATTGATTTCGAAAAGAAAGAAAAAGAGAGCAGCTGCCATTGCGATGGGAGTAACGATCTCTATCCGTTACAGAGTCCCCATGAGAAATCATAAGGAAATTATTAGAGGAAATCATGACAAAATCAAGCGAAATCTTGAAAAACTCAGAGGAAATCTTAAGAATCTCGGAGGAAATCTTGAGGAAATTATGGGAAATCTTGAGGAAATCATTTAATTTCTAGATCTAATGCTCTTGGGTAATTTTACTGGTGATCAGAAGAAAACAGGAGAAATCATGGAGGAAATCCGAAGAAATCTATGGCAATCGGGAAAAATCAAAGGAAAATCTTGTTTTAATCAGTCAATCTCTAGATCTAACGCCTGCCTAGTTTTCAAAAATCTTTATATAGTTTGTACTTTGAAGTAATACGTTTTCAGGGGAACTTTTGGGCAATTTAACTGTTAATCAAAAAAAATCAGGGAAAATCATCGGAAATCATCCATGATTTCTCCTAAAACCGCAATTTTGTGTGAAAAACTGTTCTGCGGTTTACTTATTGGTGTAGGTACCTATTAGGGGAAAACAAGAGGAAATCCGGGAAAATTTTAGGCAATCGGGGGAAATCATAAAGAAATCTTGAGGAAATCAGTCAATCTCTAGATCTAACGCATGCGCAGTTTCAAAAATCTTTATACACTGGTCCCACTGATCCGACAACTAGAATTAGAACTTTGAAGTTATCTTTTAAGGGGAACTCTTGGGCAATATCACTGAACATCAGAAAAAATCAGGGAAAATCATGGAAAATTATTCATGATTTCCCCTAAAATATCCGTTGCACAAAAACTGACCTGCGATTTACCCCTCGCGGCTACCACAAACCTTTATTAAACGTATTTGTTGTGACTTTTTATGAAAACATTCTTTCAGTTTTTTAACGTTTCCAACGTGATTTGCAATGTTACAAGATTGTGTATAATTTCCCCAACTTAAGATATTTGTAACACCGCTCCATTTCCTAATGCTATTCGCCTCGTACAACTTTTCCTGATCTCATCCAAGCTTGTGCATTTTCATCTTTATCGATGTGTTCCAAATTTGAGTCCCACATCATTGGGAACCCAGAAAGGATAGGGTTGGTTGAATTGGTGCAAAGTTGCGTGTCCAAAGAAGTTGAGCCCACTGAAGATGTTCCAAAACTCTGGCAAACCTCTGCTTGGTGGTGTCAGGAACTGGAACACCTCAGAGTGACGACAAGTAAAGCCTTCAATAAGACTAAAAACACCAAACTACCTTAAGATTGGAACCTTTATAGGTAGGTACCATTTCAACCAGTACAAAAAAGTCGTACGACAAAAACAAAGAGATGCCTGGAACTATACGGAAGCGGCGAGACTTCAGAAAGCTCTTAATAAAGACCCATTTCGGGAAATTGTTATCCTGTGCAAGGAGGATGGTACCTTCACTGCCAACCCGAGATACAATATACCCAAGGCGTGGCGAGAAGTTGAAGTGGTGTTCTTACCCAAACCAGGCAGGCATCATTTTCTCTAAAAACAATGGAGAGGCTATGCGAAAGGTACATATTGGATGAAGTGTTGTCAACCAACTCACTCCACCCTTATCAACATGCATACACCCCCGGGGAAATCAACGTACATCCACCTGGTTGCTGGGCGAGTTGAAAAAGCGCTGGACAACAGAGAGTCCGGCCTCGGGGTTTTCATCGACATTGGATGGGCCTTTGACAAAACCACCTTTCAAAAAATTAGCCATTCATCACTAATAGAAAAGAATATTCCGGAAACTGTTACCGGATAAATATTCAATATGCTTTCCAAAAGAATTGTACAGATAAGTGTGCAGGACGTTAACATTAAAGGAATGGTCACAGGAGGCTGCCCATAGGGAGGCGTGATATCACCTCTCCTATAGAACATGGTTCTGGAGAGCCTCATCGTCCGCGTAAAGAGTGACAACTACTAAACACTAGCTTACGCAGATGACGTAGTCATCTTGCATAGATGCAAATTCGAGAATTCGCTTTACGTACGCATGCAACAGGCTCTTCGAATTATAGAAAAATGGTGCACGGATTACACTCTGTCCATTAACCCCAAAAAGACTAAAATGGTCTTATCATAAGAAAGAGGAAACTGGTACTTCCGACAACACCCAGACTCTTGAACATCGAACAAACTTTTGTTGCCGAGGTCAAATACCTGGGAGTGACACTCGATTGCCCATGAACAGTGTAGACGTACTATCGGTAAGACCTGGGGGTTCTCTCCCAAGGTAGTTATGTGGTTCTATAGGACCATCATCAGGCCTATGCTTACCTATGGGGCTATTGTCTGGGGACATAAGGCCGAATAGACTACTATAAACCAAAAACTAGACCACGTTCACAGAATAATATGCCTCAACATAACTGGTGCAATGGAAACCACACCAACTAGGGCTTTGGAACTAATTCTATTTTTGACGCCCCTGGATACTTATGTCAAGGAGGTCGTTTTAACCACATAGATGCGCTTCCGCACTGTTGGAATAGAATCAAGTGCAGAAGTCTGTTTGCAAAGAGCCCGCATATGGTGTGAGGTAAATAACTCGCTTCCATTGTTGGAGACCAGAGTGGACTCTGCAACACCATGTTTCGTCTTCAAAAAGCACTACGCAATAAACACGAAAGGCATTAGAAACAACACAGTGGCAGGGGTAAGTATTATCTACATTCTACACTGATGGTTCCAAAATTCAAACATGTTCGGGATGCGGAGTATACTCCAAAGCTCTCAAACTGAACCTAGCGATAGCCCTTGGTTCAATGCCTAATGTCCTCTGAACGGAAATTACAGAAGCAGTCGTTGACCATCTTGACTGGCCACTGTCAGTTAAACAAACATTTGTTTAGGTTGCATCTCAGTACCACGTACTTGTGAAGGGGTTGTATTTAAAAAGATGAGATGATAGAGCACATTATCTGTGACTGCACTGCTCTTTCGCCAATACGCAGAGCCAGATTAATAGGCCAATCCTACCCATCGCTAAAAGAGATCAGAGGCACCGCCCTCGGCGACGTCATCGCCTACGTGGAATCGCTAGGCTGGATGACGAGCTAAGGATGACCTTTCCTCTTATGGAGACGCACAATGGGCCTATTTACACATACAGATTCATACTTTGGATTCAAAATCCTCTTCTTATCGATATGAAGTTTCAAGTTCTTGATTGGAAACTGGAAATAATGCTGTTCACAACTTCCAATTTCATCATTTTGTTGTTTCTCAAAGACTTCCTTCGTAATGCCGTCAGTATAGTATGACTCTAGAGTTTTTGACTGCTTCCTTTTCAAAAGTTGATACATTTCAAAGAACATTTTTTGGCTGAATTGTACAGTATAAATTCTAGTATAAATTGTTTTCAAAAATTTCGAAAAATACCTACGAGTCCTCCTAAAAAGTATCTCCCTTCCTCCGAGCGTTTGCACCACTTGACCGTCCTTGATAGTGTCCTGTTTGAGCCTGCCCCTAACGAAATGATTAACGATGACGCTCTCGGTGAACTCTGGCACGCTGAACGGATAAAATCCCCAGTCGATGGGGTGCCATCTTTGGAACGCGTGATCCGTCGGGACGAACACTGTATACTCTTCGCCTAATACATAAAAAAAAAAAAAACATATTAATATTTTTTCAATACATTGACACCCCCACTTGGCGTGTGAAAAGGGGCAAAATTGCGTGCCAAAAGCTCGCTTTTTATTACAATTGATTTAAATAACATTGTTGGCATCGAGTCAAATAACAATGTCTATGGATTGTTAACACGCAAATATTTTCAAGAGGCACTAAACTTAAGCCAGAAGATTTCTACAAGCTCCTCACAAAAACATCTTGATGGTTATTTAAGCAAATTTTCTATCGAAATATCCTTCTTCTCGGCTACATTATAGAATAAATCATAATCAGATTTAAGATAGAGTTTTCTCTTGGCTTAAGATAAATTTGGAATTTATTTAATAGACTGATTCAGGTAATGAGTTTTACAAAAAATCAGCGTTAATCAGCAAGTTTTATTACTTTTCAAGCTTCAGCCAGACTAATAAACAATAGGATTTACGTTTAAAAGTGTATTAATTTCTTACTAGAGCTTTAAGAAAGAACTTAATGGCTTTATGGAAGTTTTTCTAATGTCCTGTCTGTATCTACGATAGTTTTTTAGGCCTTGTAGAGAATGTCATAGGCTTTCATTTACCTTCTTTTAACAATCCCGAAACGTTCGACCTGGATACGAAGTGCTGGAATACCCTGACCCGACTCTTGAGAAACGACAGCACTTCCATCACGTTCTCCACAAACGACGCGTTCGATTGACTCTTGATATTGGAAACTGACGGTCCGATATTCGCCGGTTTTTGGGTACGGAATGCCAGAGGTCTGATGGCCGATGGGGCCTCACGGGCCGATACGTTCCTGCTGATCGCCGGTTCATCTTCATCGAATAGATAGCTGTCGACGATAACGAGAATGCTGCAATTTAGATAAATAAATTCGTTAGTTTTAGAGAGAAATACTACAGTGTTTTGGGCAGAGGAAGGATGGCACGAAGACAAAGGGATAAGGAAACAAATAATTGAATTGGGGGAGGGTTTCAAGTTATTCTGGCCTGTCAATTGTGTCTGGGAATTAGAACAATATACATAGGGTGTTCCACTGGGAACCAAGTCGATCTATATCACATGATATTCATTTTGGTAGGTGTTGAAAAATATCTGGGTTCATCACATTATAGATGTTATTTAAAGTATTGTTTATCCTGATATAATACTATAAGAGTTTCACAACACAAGAGGTAATGATGGTCGTTTTATACGCATGAGCTTTAACCTGCGAAAATGTATACCTAACATTTTTTTTATGTATGTATATACAGTTTTTCCTAAACAGATCGATTTGATTCCCGGTAAACGAGTGAACTCCCCAATTACTCATCAACTTTGAAGTCGTTTCACATAAATCGCACTTACCCATTAGGAATCTCAATCTCTTTCTCCAATACCGTGGCATTATTAACCCTAATCGCTCCCTCATTATCACGATATATAGTGACATTTGTCCCACCCAAAGTAGAATAGATCTTGTTCTCATCTAAATTACTCAGGTTCACTTTAGTTCCCAATATCACTTGGTCCATCAACAATTTCTTGAACAATTCTATATCGCTTGAGTTCCGTAAACGATCCCGTACTTTTTCTGATGGGCGATTTTTTGGTGCAAATATCGTAAAGGGCTTATCTGAAACAAAACAAAAAAACACTGTTGTTAAATACCCAAGGATTTTCCAACAACAGCAATAAACTTCTAGTTTTAATTTCCGAATGTCTCGTTTCGGCTAGCAGGATTTCTTTCCTGGCACGAGAGCAATTCGCTTCTGTGTTCGGTAATTGGACATCGAAACAATATCGTAGCTTTGCAATTTAACCGGATTTCTATTCGTTTCAATTTAGAAATGAAATCGGAGCCCAGCAGGTGAGGTTTTGTTATATAAATGCGACAACGTGACAATATATCAAAAATAAATTTAATATCAAAAAAAGATATCAAAATCCCAATTTCTATACAATATTTTGTGATATTATATAAACTCTATCGAATTCACCCCTCGTCGTGAGCTAGCTTGAGCTTTTTGGCCCCGTTACGCCGAATGAAAAGTTAAATGGCTCGAAAAGTTACATTTTAGGAATAAAAGATAATCTTTCAGCGACTTATCAAGATTGGACGATATAATACTTACTTTAAGGCTTATCCCCTAGGGTATAATAGTGTATTGTCTAGAAGGAATAGGGTAATTTTAACTCGCTGTAAAGGTAGTTACCTTTAACGCTTGTTTCGTGAAAAAGTTCGTTCTCTTGGGTAATATTTTTGTCATGATGGAATTACGAAGCATCTTTTTTCGTGAATTTAATCTTTGATATTACGGATTCCAATAACAAATCAAACTCGATTTAGTGCGTACTTATAGGATGCGCCTTTCAAGGGTCCCAAAATTGGATAAGGGTCGTTTAGGGGAGCCGAAAATTTTATAGCTTCAATATGATCAGTATATATATGAAAGAAATCCTGGAATCGGATTCAGAGATTTATGGGAATCGAATTTTTTTTTTACAGATGAGGAAATATTGTGTTTATACAGAGTGAGGTTTTTTCTGGAGAGTGAATTATATAAGAGTAGAATAGTTCTTCAGCCTTGAGATCCTCAAAAAATAGTTCTCTTCAAAAAAAAATATCTCGGTTATTGTATGAAATTGGGGATTCACCGAAAATAAGATTTAATGGGCTATAAACAGCTTTCAGGTGAAGATGGGATCTTTCTCGCCCTCGTACAACAGGATCTGGGAGAATTAGCACCACACCTAAGCAAAAATGTTCAAAGCTAACTACAGTTGGCGGAATGTGAATGTGGTCTTCATTCCAAAGGTACAGTACAGCCTAAATTCTTCAGACCAATTAGATTGAACTCATTTCTCCTAAAAACTATAGAGAAAATCAAGTCCCTACTGCTGTGGTCACTGGTAGTAGATGAACTTCTCATCGCGCTGAGTACCCAAGGGATCACGGTCCTAGGATATGCTGACAACCTCACATTACAGTCATCATTGGGGGTGAGCATGATAGGATCATTAGTGACCCCATGCAAAATGCTCTAAAGCTCGGTTTGTTCAACTTGCTGGTAACTATCTGCAAGATAAATTTACCGTTCTATAATTTTATTGGTCGGCGGATAAATGGTCAACCAACGGGATTACAGATTGCGTTTTTATCTGTCAGATTGCATACCTGAAGGTGAATAAACCGTCCCTAAATGTCATTATAAAAGAGTCTAAAGTTTCCCCAGGACGTCATTTGATACGCGATATACACGTTTGCCTTTCTCAGATTCCATTAGGGCCGTAGTATATTAGCAGAGAATGGGGTTGCATTTAAATTTAAAACGTCACTTTAAAGCTCCGGCTTTTGGCCGACGCTTACACCCCTGATAGCGTTCCTAAAGTTTATTCTCGTACGTGCCGGATAGGCAAAATCGAGTTTAATTTTTATCAATTTCGCAAATCAGGACACTGGCGTTCTGTATTCAATTATTATGACCGAAAGACTACCCTACTGATTTTTTTATGCAATAATCTATGTTGATAGAAGCCACCATCAAAGTCAAAGTAATCACAGAAAATGTCTGTTGGAACTTGGTTGCATCAGGTTTTCACCGGATTAAATCCACCACTAAAATAGGAACGCGGTATGGTGGGCCATCATATTTCCACCACTAATAAAAGAACACTTTGGTGGCATCATGTTTTTACCTGGTGAATGTCTGATGGAAAAAAAAACCACAACAACCGTGAAACGTAACCATATCGCCGAGCTGGTTAGAGAAATGACATACCGTTTCCTAAACCGGTTACATAGGGACGTCATCGATACCACTCGAATTTGAGCGGTATGTTGCAATTTGTTAAACCGGAGCCACCCACATGAAAAGGGCTAATGATATTGAAGAGGTTGACGCATATTTGCTACGTTCGTTTTCCGTTTATAAAGGGCCCCACACACTACGATGAAATACGACGGTTTTCATCGCGGCGATAAAAACCGTCGTGTTCCATCGTAGTATGTGAGGCCCTTAAAACCACAGTCAGTGTTGCCAGAGGTGGTACAATTATACCAGGTTTGGTACCATTCGTTTTGAAAAAGTAAGCTGGTACGACGTTGGCATATTTGGTACAATTTTCAATTTTTTTATTTTTTCCAAATTCTCAAAGAGTCTTAGCCTACTGCCTACTTAGTCTAATGTCGATATTCTAAATAACTTGTATTTCTGTATCCAAATTCGATATAACAATAATTTTTGATTCGTAAATAGATGGCGTCACCAATGTAACACTTGTTTTGTGGTTCTTGGTTGACGTAATTTGTGTTTAGTTTAGGTTTTCGGCAGAAAATAAAGAAAACTCAAAGCCTCGTACTTTGAATCGGTTTTCCTGATCTGATCGGAAAAGCGGAAAATCCAAAGAAAAACCATTTAAAAATGACATTCCAAAGCCTACTTGATGAAACTTAAGTTTTTGTTACTTACCCCGTTGAAAAACTCGAAATTTTTTATACAAAATGAAGGAAACTCAAAGCCTCGTACTTTAAATCGATTTTCCCGATCAAAAACCGCCTGGAAAAGTGGAAAATTCGAGGAAAAACTGATTAAAAATGTAAACACGTCAAATGAAAATGGCGACTATCAAAAATGACAAATGATACTTATTACAAGGCCTCCTTGATTGAAGTTAGCGACAAGCGGTGTTGCCACATCAAAAGCATTTTAAATGGGATTTTGCTAATTATGGCATTTAAAAGTGGGAATTTTTGCTAGAAAATGAAGAAAACTCAGCCTCGTATGTTAAATCGCTTTTGTCCATTAAAAATCCACGGAAAAATTGAAAATTCGAGGAAAAACTGGCAAAAAATCACAAGAAGTCACTTCAAAATGGCCGACTAAAAGCAACATTGCCACATTACATCTCGGAAGACAAAAATAACATTTTAAATGAGTTTTTTGTTTAAAATTCAATTAAAAATTGTTAAATAATTAATAAATAATGATTATAATAATTAAAATTCCCTAGATAAAGCATCGAAAACTTGTTTTTAGTTTAATTTCAATAAAAATGACATTACAAGGTTTACTTGTTGATTATACTGAGTACGACAAAGACAACGATAAAGTAGTACCTATGTGTTTGCAAAAACCACCGTTTTCTGAAAAAAGTAAAAGTCTTAAGAAAACCCAATAGAAAACCAACATTCCAAAGTCAACTTGATAAAACTAAAGTTTTTGAATATTCTCGGCTCTTTGATTGGGCACTAAAAATCGCATTTTGAATATTACTGGTTTTTGATTGGCTCCTCGAAACCGGCCTGGAAAAGTGGAAAATTCGAGGAGAAACTGAATAAAAACACTAGAAAATGGCCGACTGTCTAAAATGCCAAATGACATCACATTACAAGGGCTACTTGATCAAAAGCGTCGTTGCCATAATTACAATCTCAAACATAATGTTTTTCCAGATTTTAGTGAGTAAAACAAAAAAGAAGATAAGGTAGGATACATTAGTAAAAAACCAAAAGCGATTATAAATGAGTAAGATAAAGAGCGAGATAAAGTAGGAAATAATTTAAATGATCAGTTGGTCGAGCCAAACTATCATCAGAGTAAATTTTTGATTGTTCCCGGATCAAACACTTGGAATAATTACTCAATTTTTTTTTGACAACTGACAAGCCTACATACAATAATATGACTTTTGACAATTGACGAGTTCATTTTCAGGACCACCTACGATTGTTATGACTTTTTTTGTCAATTGACAGCCTTGTGATTCAGATTGAGGCCTACAACAGCAACGATGCCACATTTTAACGGTAATTCTGGAGCATTTGTAATTGTAAACGAAAACGGTGACAAGTGGCAATTGACATCAAGAAACGATTGTTATGATGTTGTAGGCTGATTGAAATTTTTAATTTTTGGCAACACTGTAACGCTAGAGGATTGAAATGGCGTTTTTTTTTTTTTAATCATGAGCCCGAAGGGCGAGAGTGTTTTCAATCTTGAGCCCACAGGGCAACAAAGAAACGCCATTTTGTATCGAGTTTTAAAGAAAACAAGGCCTACTTTGAAACGTCAATTTTTTAACGTTTGTTGTATCATAAGCAGTATTGCCATATGTTTTTTTTCAAATCTCCAGCCTGAATGGCCGGTGTTGTTTTAATTACAGGTGGGTTCGGCTTGCTCATTCCGTGCACTCCGAGTGACTCCATTCGCACTCCAGCCGTTCGGGTATAGCTTTTTACCGTATTAGGGGTGACTTCATAAGCTCTGTTCACTCCACTCCAACTTCGCGCTTAATAGCCAAACCCAGCTTACGTTACGAGTCCGAAGGGCCGAGGTTATACGTGCCCCAAGGGCCGGAGTTATCTGAGTCCGTTCATTGTCAACTGATTTTAATACCTATTATGAATATTACAGGTCTGTGATGCCCTTAAATGTTCTGGGCCGCACGCGCGCTAAGTGGCCAGATAACCCGCTCTGTTACAATTTTTCTTTAATTTTGGTACAAAAAATTTCTTATTCCAGGCTCTTGAATTGAAAAACTAAATAAAACAGGGAAGGGCTCAAGAGCCTGGAATAAACAAATAATTGAGACAAAAAAGATAAAGTTCTACATCGAAAAGAAAACACCTTAACT